GCTGAGTCCCGCAACCACCATCTGATGCCCGTCTAAGAGGAGCCCCTGCTGAACGGAGTATTTTGACAGTTTTGGGTTTGAGCGTTGGGAGGCTGGTGACGAGGTGGATTCTATTAGTGCGGTGTATTCCTGGTCCGCTGGTCCCGTCCTGCGGATCACGTTTACAATTTCTGCATCTGTCCAGATTTTACAAGGAGTAGAGGGCTGGCCAGCTGATATGGGGACTAGGGAAGAAAAAACAAACTCACATTGTGGGGATTCTAGTGTAATATTAGGCTCTGTGACAGATTAACCAATAGGATCATTGGATGTACACAAAATGTCGTCAAGTTGCCTAGCTTCCCTCAGGGGATCCCGTTCCACAAACAAGGGGTCCTGGTCCACAGGTGAGGGGTTGGTCAGGCATGACAAATCTGCAATGGAGTCCAAGTTGCGGGTTTCCACACACCCCAGGACATCAACATCAAACCAATAGTTAGCGTCATCCAGATCAATCAATTTGTCAAAGAAACAAGCTTCAAATTCCACAATTGCAGTGAAAGTATCTAGTCTAATGTTGTCCGGTCGGAGAAGTTGTCCAAATGAAATCTTCTCTGCATTTTCTGTGGCCAATTCCGGTCTGCGGGAGAGAGCATTGGGGCGGGCGGCCTGATTGCCTGGGCGGAACACAATGTCAAAGTCAAAACATCCAAGTATTTCCGCCCATCTGGCTTGATGGTGGGTGAGTTCCTTTTTTTCATGAAACTTTCAAGGTTGCGGTGGTCGGTATAGACTATGGTGTGGATTTGGTGCAGGTTTCCTTCTAGATAGTGTCTCCACTCTTTAAATGAAGCCACAATTGCCAACAGCTCCTTGTCAAAGATAACATAGTCCCACTCCACTTTGATAAGTGAGTGGGATAAGTAGGCTACCTGGTGGAGGAGGTTGTCTTTTTGGCAAACTTGGGACAGAACAGAACCTAGCGCAAAGTTGGAGCAATCACATTCTAGGATAAGGGGACAATACAGATCAGCAATATTCAAGATAGGTGCAGACATTGTGGAAAGAAAAACTGTCTCAGTAGGTAACTGAGTGTCCTTCTCCAATGTGTGTCGAGCACCCTTTGGTTTCACTGCAGAAAACTTCTAGATTGGTGAGTATATTTTTTAATCCCCAATAACAAACACTCCCTTGTTACCGCTATTTGCACACTGAAACCCGGAAAGAGACTGTGAATTTTCTGCCTTTTGGTGATTTCAAAGCTTGACTCCTGATTTCTCTCCAGCTCTCTGTATTATGTATGATGATCCCCTGATATATCTACAAAGACTCCCCCCCCTTATATAACCAAAACTCCCGCAGCTC